ATCCAGCACCAGCGTAAGCGGACTCGCTCCATCTCTCAAATTCAGCAGTTTCTGAAAAAGTAACGTATTATGCGTTCTTCTCTGTTGGAGGGGTGAGGGCGCCATGCTCGTCTTCAGGAGCTACAAATGTATGTATGTATGTATGTATGTATGTATGTATGCGTATACTTCTATGAACCCCCTAACTCTCCGAGATGAGACAGGAATGGATAAAAGAAATGTGCGATACAAAATCCCCAGGCGGAGCGGAAAGATACCAGTGGGAAAAAAGCTCGTGATGCGGTGATCAGCGGGAAAGGGTGAGAACTTTTTTGAGTTGAGCTTTGGGATGTGGTGGGGGCGGGAGGCGGGGTAGGGAAGGATAACCTTGAAAAGTACTCGTAGTACGGTACTGGAAATTTTATTAGTTTCCTAACCTTAACCTTAGTTGTACTTGATAAATCGTGATCTCGCAAATTCTTTCAAGATACGTTCAAATTATTTAATACATAAACATTAGACCAAATATTTAACAAGTATGAATATACATCAAAATTTGTCAATACATTTTCAATTTTACAACTCGAATTAACACCGATGAAAAGTTGTATGCGAGGGGAGAATGATAATATCACGTGACTTCTTTCCTCTCCGACTTTATTCTCCAGGAGTTCGTGATTATACTAGGTAATTATTGAACTAAAGTCATGTTATATTTCATATACTATCTGATTGATATAACAAATCAGTACTTTTAATAGAAACTAGTATATTCTGTCAATAGTGAAATTAGGACCTTAGCCAAAGACTTCGTAGCAATCCATGTTCCACACCTCGCCGGGAATCGATAGTGTTCACCAAAAGCTGTTTCTTCCATTGATCAAAAGCTCAACGGTGACTCTGCAGTCCCTCTTGTACCAAGGTACCTATATAAATCAACATGTCATTCCATTCTCAAAAGTGATATACAATCACCATCGCCATCACCATCATAATTACAATCACAATTACAAGCACTCAATCTTAGATCTACAAGGTTCTCATCTATTTCAGCCAAAGGAATCGAATCTCTTGATACGTAGATTGATGTGCACTCAATGAACTCATAGCAGACGTCTAGATTTGATTTCGATGATTTTCCCAATTACCACCATCAACTATAAACCATCATCTAGCGATCAACGACACCAAAGTCATAAGACTATACCATACATTTCCTCAACTGCCTGACAATCCCCATACATCTTGTCAAATCCATCCATCACTCCTAGAACTCCACGCCAAATGCATATCAACCAATCCATCCGTCCCCCCATTTATTCATTACCCTATCCCAAGGAGTGTGATGTAAGCTTAATTTATTCCACCTTTGTGTCCTTCTTCCTCCTCTCCTCTCCCCTCTACTCTCTTCCTTAATTTCCAGCCCCACTTAGCTCTGCCACATATGCTCACTCAACTGCAACATACACTCTCCCATTCCCCTCTTAGCTACTGTCGTGATTCCTCTCTCGTTACTTCCCAACTGTTCACTAAAGCACAACTCAACCAACCCCTTCAGCTCATCATAAGTAAACTTAACCCCCTGATCCTCACCCTCCCCATCTCCATTCGTATTGCCAGCATTTGCACCACCCTTCTCTTTCGCCCAGCCCACAATCCCATCAGGTCCCTCTTCAAACAATCCCCAATATCTTCCGCTCCTAATCAAGCCCACGCCATCTTCTACACCCTTCAAGTTTTGCTGCAGCACTAGTACGTTTAGTCTCATCCTTTTCCCTCCTTCTTTATTGATTCTTTGGATTTTCGGCGCGTTATCGACCATGAATGTATCAATCAACAATCCCAGTCCCTTTCTCACAAAGTTGATTTCTTTCTCCCTCAAGAACTTCACTATCGTCTCATCATACGCCACTAAATCTGCGTTAAGAGAAAGGATAGTTGGGTCAGGCTCTGAGACAGGTTGAGAAAGAATATATGGGTAAATGTTTGATCCCGAGGAGGGCGAGAGAACGCGTGCTAGGGAGTGGAGGATTTGAATGCGTGTTTCCATGTGCAGGGTTAGGAGTACAGTAGCGGCTAGTTCTTGGAATGAGGAGACAATTGAATCGAATGCGCTGTATATCACGTTAGCCATAGATCAAACCATGAAAGGGAAAAAGACTTACACAACAGTTTCTTGCGTCATAGGAAGATAAACCACGACCTGTTCATCTTGTGCTCTCGTGGGATCATTTAGTAAAGTCCAACGTCTATGCGGTGGTTTCTGCATTGATGGTGTACGAGATGAATCTGCATCATTCCTCGTGATATGTCTTAGCTGACCAATTTTGATAGCTAACCACTTCATACTGGTGTATAAAACGCAAAGAGACGAGATGGTTTCTCGATCCGAGATAAGATCATCCGCCTCAAGAGGATTCTCATTTGTCTGTAGAATCAAAAGACCAGTTTCCTTGTCTAGTAACTGATAATCGACTTCTTCACTGGTCCATATTTTCTGCATGGTATCGTGGATATCACCAGATTCACTGGCAAGCAGTGCAGACAGCTTCAGTGTCGACCCTTCGGAATCTCGAACTCGAGATACGAGCGATTTGAACCAGTCGTAACATCTATCATAATATCTCATCATTTGCGTGATGATAAGTTGACTCAATGCTTGATCATGTGGAATTGTGTCCAACATCCTGCAGAAAGCTGTAATTAATGTAAAGAAAGCAGCTGTACCTTTGAAAACAGGTCGCCTGGCAACTCTTGCCCACTGTGCATCTTGTTGGAATGCATCCGTCTCCTCAAATACTGAATCACTAAGCTTGCCTAGAGTTTCGTCAAGTTGAGGTAGAAAGACATTGACGAGAAAGTTATCCAAGAACGACGTCAAAGTACTTGTGACCAAGTCCGAACCAGGTGGAACAATGGCCTTTAATCTCTGTAAGAAGCTCAAAGTAGGAGGCAACAACAGGCTCATGTTGAACACACTTGGCTCTACCAATGACTTGTGAGTTCCCATACCACCCGTTTTAGCATCGAAAGCGGAACCAGTCAAACGTTTCGTTCCATTTCTGCCAACGGAATTCTCCAAGAAAGATTTCGCTTTCTTACTATCGGCACCTGATTTCCTCGAGCTCGACATAAGACCAGGTACGGCAGCTCTGATGATGTTCTCTAGATCGTCATATTCAGTCGTCATAGAGACAGACTTAGCATCCGCATCCGAAAACCTGAAAAGCTTCTCTAACTTGGACGATTTTGATGCACCAGGTCTGGGAGAATCGAATTGATAGACATCCGCATCTGTAGTGACATAATTATGCAACAAGGAGCGAATTTCGTTCTGATATAGATTCCATAGTTCCCTGAAACCACCAAGAAGTATGACTGAGTTCCTCATGCCTTCTCTTTTTGTGATAGCTTTTACCACATCATGAAATACACGATGACCCTCAGCAATAGCCTCGAACTTTGCGTATAACGTCCACAATAGATCATAAATGACGTCGGTACGAATCGTATTTTCTCGACTAGAGAACGTTTGGTTTCCTTGTGTAGATGCGAGTCCACCACGTAAAGAGCTTGGATGTTTTTGATCGACTTCGCTATTAGTCTCATTGACGATACCAAATAGCTCGACAGGAAGTCTCTGTTTGATAGTATTCACGGCAATATCCAAACGCCCCAGCTTATTCAATGCTTCTGTCAACAATTCCACATAGTAGAACGTATCCGCTTCTGGATTTCTGGACGCATCTTCTACCATCGGCTCTGCCAAATCCATCGTGTCAAGAACCTCAAAAAATGGTCTCACTGTCATTGAACTCTCGAACTTCTCCTTCGCAACACCACCTTGAGTCTTGGCCAGCATCTGCCATCTCTCCTGGCAGTAAGGCGACTTCAGATACAAATGATCATGAAGTTCCTCAATCAATATATCCGTCAAGGCCGTTTCCTGATTCGCGAGATAAGTCCTCAACTCACTCAGAGCTCCAATATCATCCAACTCAGGCGATCGAATTCTCCTTAACGCATCCTGTAGAACATCTACCGCAGTCAAGAATCGCTTCTCTGAAATCCGTGCTTCTAATTGATCCGGAACCAGCCGTAACTCCTCCACCTCCGAGAGCGTATGTAACAATTCATCATAAGTCGTCGAAGCCGCACCCAATTTCCTCAATTCGGGATCGGTAGTCGAGAGATTAGCTTTCGATTGTGCGAGCGAATCTTTCAATGTTCGTACCCTCTTCTGCGACGTCTGAATACTCGTTTGAATCTTATGAAAAGTACCAATCGAACTATTGAATCCCTGATGATGTTCATGCACGATGTTCTTCAAAGAGTCTTGTAAATATTGCATCGATTGTTGAAACTGCGCATATTCATGAGCCTTGCCAACTGAACTCGTGTCTAGAAGCTGCAATGCCAACTGTACTGGCACACATTCATTCTGACACAACGCAGGCCATTCCGTCTTAATGTGTTCTAGCACTTCCCCAATTTGTTTCTCCGCATTGGTTTCCTCTAACTTTGGTCTGCCAGCTGGTTCTCTCGGTCGTGAAAGACCTCTCGATCGAGGTGTTCGAGGCATGGAAGGTGATGGTGTTCGCAGCCCTTCTGGTATAGGGGGTGGAGTGGCATATCGATCAATGCCGGAGCTATAGGGATCATAGTCTCCATCTTCAGTTATTTGTCCCGGATAGGCACTTGCATTTGTATTTGCATTCCCATTCCAGCTGCCATTTCCATATCCATTCCCATTCGCATATCCAGTAGAATTGCCGTTCATGTAAGGGTCCCCCCCGAGACCACCATATCCTCTTCCTGACATATCCTATATTATTGAAATCGCATTACTTTTCCGATTTGTTTCATGCCATTCGCAGATGTGCTATGAATTATGGAAGCTTGGAGATTAATTGGGTTTCGAGACACGGATTACGCTGAAGCTCGGCCGCAGCTTCAAGACACCTCGTGGCATTAGTAAATAAGCGAGTGTGAGCATCAAGTTATATTTGATATATATTCCAAATTCTATACGACGACAACAATCACGCCACATCTCTTTAGAATAACAACACAGTAAAATAAGCCTCAAAAATGCACAAATTACTCCCACGATTGTATTCAAGCAGTGATATTCAACAAGGAGATCATGATGACCCATCCTCACCTACACTCACCCAATTCCATCTATTCCCCAGGATTCCCACAGAACTGCGCTACAAAATATGGCATCTAGCCATCCTCCCTCGCGTCTTAGAACCCTCCTTAGATTTCCCCAATGGTGTGCTCAACAGTTTCACTTGTCAAATATGCACACTTACAATCAACTAACACACTCTCCCTCTAGATGAACAAAAAGCGCAATATCCCCGTCGCAGACCACCTCCAGCCCTTTTCTTCACGACCCAAGAAAGTCGTCTCATCTGCCTCGACGAATATATTGTCCAAACACTCCGCAACAAACCTTTCTATATCCACCGCCGTCTTGATACACTCTTTCTCCCAATCAGCAACCGAATTTCCGAAGATCTTTCACGCACCGAGCCCTTCTATGGCTGGCTCATCTCCCAAATTTCCACCCTCGCCCTCGAAATCTCCGTCGATCCTGCATTATTGAACCTCAGACCATCCTCAAAATCTTTCCGTGTCTTGCCTCCCAGAGCCGCTATCATTCCATCCCTCGATGGATATATGTGGATGTATTCTCTCACCTCCCCATCCACAATCCTCTACCTCACCTTTCAACTTAGCCCTGCGCGGCCAAGACCTCGCTCAACGCCCCCTCCACAGTCACCATCTTCTCTAGAACCACTATACTCCCCATCGTCACCGATTGACCAATACTACGCAGATATTAACCAATACGCAGACAGGACCATCATAACAGAATACGAAGAGGATTGCGAGACGAATATGCCATGGTCGAAGCTTCTGCCCAAGCCTAAACTCGTACCAGATCCCATGGCCATTACAAGAAGACAACAGATGGCTTTGAGATTGGAGAGCGAAAGAATGGTTACGAAGAATGTAAGTTATAGGACACACAAGGTGATCCGAGAATGAATGACAGTAATGTTTGTACAAATCATGGAAGTGAAGTCGTGTCGTTCGGATATGAACGATGGGGAAAGGAATGCATTAGCGAAGTAGTACTCGCGCTGCGAGGTGCAGCTAAGGAATCTTGGGCGATGCAGAGCAAGGCAAGTAATTGATTGAGATAAGGGACGAATTATCCATTTTGAATTATCACAAGGATAGGCACATTTTATTGTAGCATGGATCATGCACATTCCAGTACACACAATATCATACCATCACACGCGTAAAGTCACATTCTCTTGAAGCCTGAGTGAACTCAATTATAAATCAGTGTACTACCTTTTAATTTGATTCTCTAGAGAAGAAACTTTCTCGCGCTATGAATGAAGAACAAAAAAATGGTGCAGCTCAAAAACACATGAAGAAGTTGGCACCACTAAAAAGTAAGAAAAAAAGCTTTGTATGATTGATACGACATTTCGAATTCCTCCCCCAAGCAAACAGTCAGCTAGATCAAAGCCCATCCGTTACTTCGAAAGAGTCCACCCAGTCGCTCAATCGCTACCAGAACTTTTCGGAACAACACTTCGCGGCGAAACAAAACACTGGGATTTGTTGTTTTGTTCGAATCTTCTTTTGGATCAAATTCGTGAAGTTCGTGATGTAAACACAAATCGACCGTGATACGCTGTGATATTGGTGATTAGCGTAGGCCCATCATCATGGGAACCAGGGATAATTGCATACCTTAGAAACACTTGCGGTGGACAATGGAAGGTCCAGACTCGTCGTACTCTTGCTTTGAGATCCACATCTGTTGGAAAGTGGACAAAGATGCCAAAATAGAACCACCGATCCAGACGGAGTATTTTCTCTCGGGTGGTGCAATGATCTTGACCTTCATCGATGATGGTGCAAGAGCAGTGATTTCCTTTTGCATACGATCGGAGATACCTGGGTACATAGTAGTTCCACCAGACTGTGAGAAAATGTTAGCATAACCTCCTGTAAATTTCGCAGATGGAAAATCTTACCATAACAATGTTACCATACAAATCCTTACGAACATCAACATCACACTTCATGATGGAGTTGAAGGTAGTAACGTGGATACCACCGCTCTCAAGACCCAAGACAGATGGTTGGAACAAAGCTTCTGGAGCACGGAAACGCTCGTTACCGATGGTAATAACTTGTCCATCAGGAAGTTCGTATGACTTCTCCAAGCTGGAGGATTGACTGGCGGTTTGAATTTCTTGCTCGAAATCAAGGGCAACATAACAGAGCTTCTCCTTGATATCACGGACAATTTCACGCTCGGCAGTGGTGGAGAAAGTGTAACCACGCTCAGCCAAGATCTTCATGAGGTAATCAGTCAAATCACGACCAGCCATATCAACACGAGCAATGGCGTGAGGAAGGGAGAAACCCTCGTAAATTGGAACAACGTGAGTGACTCCATCACCGGAATCGAGAACGATACCGGTGGTACGACCGGAAGCGTAAAGGGAGAGGACGGCTTGAATAGAGACGTAGAATGCAGGGGCGTTGAAGGTCTCAAAGACAATTTGTGTCATCTTTTCTCTGTTGGACTTTGGGTTGATTGGGGCCTCAGTGAGCAAAACTGGGTGCTCCTCTGGTGCTACACGAAGTTCGTTGTAGAAAGTGTGATGCCAGATCTTCTCCATATCATCCCAGTTGGTGACAACACCGTGCTCAATTGGGTATCTAAGGGTGAGAATACCACGCTTGGATTGCGCTTCATCTCCAACATATGAGTCCTTTTGACCCATACCAATCATAATACTATAATATCCCCTATCAGTTCCTGTTCGGGTGACACGAGTTGTGGGGGGAAATGGCGGGGTGTCGTGGAAATGGAATTCTTACCCATGATGACGGGGACGACCGACAATGGAAGCTATATTGCATGTTAGAGATGTTTCAATATCATCAAGATAGTTGTCGATGACTGATTTTGATAGAAATCAAGGTGGTGGGTTGCAGCAGTTGCCTGCAAGGATGATCATCTACTTACGGAAAACAGCTCTTGGAGCATCGTCACCGGCGAAACCGGCCTTACACATTCCAGAACTACAGAACCTATCAGTCTCATTCTTCTTACTTATAGAGTCTTCGCCGTTGTAGAAGATTTGGGGTTTCTCGGTCGGTTGTTGATTCCTTCCGAGAGCTACCCCTCTGTCTTTCGAGGCTCACGACCATTTTGTTGGATGATGGGAGCTTACCCATTGTCAATGACGAGGGCTGCGACTTCTTCTGTTGATTGAGAGATGGTGTTAGTAGATGCTCATGATAATCTAGATAGCTGCGCAAAGGGTGTACATGCGATATACATGTCGGAATGAAGCTTACCTTCCATGGTTGATAAATTAAGACGTCAAGTCAAATAAAAGAGGCGTGGAATATGGCGGTGAGTTACTTCTCGTGATAATTAAGATCTCGAGAATGATGGAGTTTTGTATTAAAGTAAGATTCACGAAGTTGTTAATTCGTGGTTGATAAAAAAGAAGATGGTTGAAAGAGAAGAAGGTGTGTTGTTGTTTTGTCAAAAGAATTGGTGATCGTGGTCGTAGTAAATGGGAAAGGACGATGTCACGAAGTTTGAATGTGGGCCGCAACTGCAGGAGGCGAAGCGATCTTATTCGGTATTCGCCGCTTTAAAATAGAATGCTGAAGAAGGATTTGATAGGCAGAAAGGGGAAGGAGGGGATGGAGGTATGTGTGAGACTCGGTGGGAGTGAATTTTGGTATCAGGAGAGAGAGGAAAGAAATGGTAAATTGGTCATGAACGGATCTACCTGGGCATTCATGGAATATATATAAATAGCTTCAAATGCTGGCCAGAGAGGGGAACGACAAGATGCGATGTAGATTCACAATTAAAAGCAGCATGTAACTATTCCGAATTATTTATGCCCATAAGATAGGTAGGATAGGTAACAGGTGTGAGAAAAATCCAGGTGGCTGTGAATGGGAAGAAGTCGGTGTCGATGGGATAGGGACATTGGACAACAACTTCTTTGCTTTCCAAGTTATTCGTTTCTCTATTCGTGTTCTATTCATCCATTCGTGTTCTGTTCATCCATTCGTGTTCTGTTCATCCATTCGTGTTCTGTTCATCCATTCGTGTTCTGTTCATCCATTCGTTGTTCCTCAGGAGCATTCACATTCAGCCAAAGTATCCAATACTGACTGGACTGGGTACTTCGTAGGAAGCTTCTTAATCTTCCCCCTTTCCCCCTTTTCCTGTTCCAACCAAGTTGACTCAACCCCCATGCAAGCAGGGTCATTCAAGGTCACACCGACTCTACCTACCTAGATGTATATCGTACCAACCCTCCGAACATATAACCTCTCATTCCCGTTCTTGGAAATGATGAGGCTACAATGTTACATGAGATTGCCTAGGTCTACGATGACAACTACATCTACACTCAAGTCTCATGTACCACCATCAGACGCGCGTTAGATGTTCAGTCAGATACAATATCTCTTCCATCATTGGTTGATAGCTTCAAGTTCCTTACCATACCATCAGCGAACGAGTCTTACACTCGATTGCCAAGCAGGCATCTCAAGATATCTCCCGTAACGCTGTCTTGACATACGTATATCTGCTCTATGTACTGGTAGAACGAGCAAAGTCTACTTTCCACATCTACCCAAATGTATCCAAATCTCTACTACATCTTGATCAATATCCAGCTACCTAACTTCATCGTCCTTCGTAATCGCTTTCCATTCCCTACGTATACGTAGCTATACGAAAGTCCGAAGCAAGACAGCATCCGCCCCCTGAAATAAAAACGGCGAGAGGCAACTTCCCATTGGTGTCGAACCAAGAAATTGCATTGCTGGTCCGAGAGTCAAAGACAAAAAGCCATTTGACGGTTGGAAACACTTGTTCAATACGGTGAGCGACATGTGAGAATCATGCAATAATTGAGGGGCTTGGTGGGGTAAAGCTTCAGATGATTACTTGTCTGCTGGTATCAACCAACTTGCATTTATGCATGAATTCGTTTTATATTGGGGATTCAACGTGTATTGTTGATTAGCTACCTAGTAAGCTTTAAGACTTATTTCAAATAAAGCTTTATGTGTTTAATTGTAGATGTAACTTTCATGCATTCTCTATCATAAGTCCTCAGTGAGGTGGCAATCTTATTCAGAAAGTCCTGTTGAAACTTCCCTCCCCCCTTAACAAGATTGGCAGGATATCAATATCAATGTCCCAGTGTCATTCCCAAATGTCTAATCTACCAAACTCCAAAACTCCATCCCGGTTCATCCATGTGACGTAGTAGCTCTCGCTATAACTCGTATCCCTCAATCGTTTTAACCTCCTTGATATCTCATCCTCACTCATGCTGCATTTGCAGCCTCCTCCCTCAATCCCCCAATCAAGACATCACAGGCATCCATATCTGCCGCATCAATCTTCTCACTACTTCTTCCCAATTTGCCCAGCTCCTCAGTCGCAGCATCCATTCCCTCCTGGAAATTTCTGATCGCACTACTCAAAGCATAAACGGCCTTTCTCCTAACGTCCTTCTCCTCCTTCTCATTGACACACATCTTGACCAAAAGTGGCACACCTCCTTCCTTTAACATAGACTTCTGACTCTTCTCATTATTCTGCACTGCTGTTCCTATGCACCAAGCAGCCATTTTCCTGATTTCTTTTTCCTCATGTCCCAAAAACTCCAATAAAGGTTTCCATAATTCGAGTACCTCGATGTTGTTGGCATTATCGAGGTTCTCAATAAGTTGTTCGAAGTTATCAAATGCAATAACTTTATCTTCAATGGTGACTTCGGGGTCGGTAGATTGAACGGCCCATATGGAAGCCTTCATGAGGTCGGCGTCACTGGGACCACCAAATAGCACATTCATGGCATCCGCTGGGAGGGCTCTGGTTTGTGGAGGGGGTGCGCTAGGATCGGCGGCGGTGGCAGTAGAGTTCTCTACACTCCATTTGAGGAGTTCGTTCATTGCTGGTGGCATGGCCATGATGGCAGATTTCTATATTCTTTCGAGAACTGAATGTTGTGTAAATTCGTATGATCGAAAAATCGAGAATCGGCAGGTGAGATTGCTTTGCGCCGAAAAGGGTTATAGTATATTGAACAGGAAAATATTTGTTTCTCAAAATAGTGTAGATGAGGTCAAGAGAAGGTTGTAATTTTGAGTAAAAACGTATCGAAAAGGTTTTCTTCTCTTTTGTATGAGATGACTATTAAATTTGTCTATTTATGTCTACTAACTTCGAGATGCTTCCAATCGAGACTTTTTTTTGGCAGGGCATAGGCAGAATTTTGGCGGTGGGAGAATGATGGCTTGCTTAGTCATACATTTCCTTCCACCAATAACAGCTTTCTTAACAATCTTGAATTCCAGCCATACAACTGCAGCGCAGCTTTGAGAGTATCGTATGGTTGATAGATCAAGCATCTATTACTACCTACACGTTTGATTTTCATGACTTCCCTGCGTACGATCTCTTATTTGGGTACCTGTGAAGTTGCTCTATAAACACATATGTGTGAAATCATCTCGACATATTTCCTTGGGCCAGTCTTGAAGAGCTGCTCGAGTCTGATGTGGAAGTCTACTTTGCATATAATAACAGTTACTCGTACCATGAGAACTCGGGGCGCTCTACTGTTCCAATCAGCATCATTATGTAAAGTTACAACTTGATACCATCAGACAAGTGCTCAGAACTCACTGGTCATACATACCTAGTATTCAACCTCAACTCAAGTCTTTGAAGTTGACGAATCTAAGAACGCCCTCCTAACAGCCCACTCAAGACATGTACGCAATCAGTCATGCGAATCTCACGAGTTACGTTACTGAATAAGATCGAGAAACTGTTCACAAGCGCATTGGTTTGGTATTCTCGCAGCTTCGTCTGCCCTTTACTCATGGAACATGGCAAGCAAAGACTTGAACTTGCTTCCTTTCTTCAGGTAATTAGCTACTGTTCTTCGTTGAGAATTACTTGAATCTATATTTCGATCGCTTAAGGTCGTTTGCCAAAAACGCTTTGCCTACAATAAATCCCATGATGACTCTCACCACGAACGTTTGAATCCGAGACCATCAAAAGACCAGAAATATTCAGATCTCATAACATAGTTCTCCGATGTTTGTGCTCATAATCGCGACTTCACATTTATCGAAATAGAGATTACCAGTGGAGATATAATGGTTGCTGGTAGTGAGACGACCACTCCGAAGTCATTGATTCCCTTCCCATTTCTCATTTCATATCTCTCTACACCTTACCTCATATCAAAGGACATGTATCAACAAATCTATAATCAAAATCTATTCACCTTCATGCACCTCTTTACAACGCCCTCCTTCCCCTTTACATCTTATCAACTACTCGAGTAATTCCATTCCTCTACACGACTGTCTTCCAGAGTGTTAGCTCCCAATTCAAAACTTAAACCTCATAATACTGCAATTCAGTACTTGTACTCGGCCCAGTCCCTTCATTCTAAACTCAGAATCCAAAAGCTTCTTTGTCAATCACCATCTTCTTTCCAATTTCTCCTCTTATCTCGCGGGCCATTTCTCAAATTCCAAGTCCCAAGTCCCAAGTCCCAGGCTTCCTATTCCTCGTCTCATCTTTTCATCATTTTATTTTTTTATCTTTCAACACCCCATTTCCCCGTTCCCCCGTTTCCGCATTTACCCAATCCCTCCCTCTCCCTCTCCCTCTCTCCCCCCTCCTCACAAATATACATACACACACTCTCTCTTCCCCCCTATCTCTCCATCCCCTCCATCTCTCCCCATTTCCGACCCTCCTTTCCCACCCTTTCTCACCCCTTCCCACCCCTTTCCACCCCTCCATCCCCCCCCTCCCCTATCTCTTCCCATTTCCCACCCCCCTTCCCTCTCTATTCCTCCTCTCTATTCCTCCTCTCTATTCCTCCTCTCTATTCCTCCTCATCACCACCACACTACCCTTTCCCTTCAAGCAGATTCCAGGAATGAATCTACACTATCAAGCCCATGCCATACATACACATACCTATACAGACATCCACTTCCCCCCAGCACAAACACACACACATATATACACAAACAAAAATCATCCTTTTATGATCAAAAACAATCAAAAAAAAATCAAAAACAATCCAAAAACATTTCAAACATTCAATAACATGGAAGCGAGCAAGTAAGTTAAGTAAGTAATTGTTATTCATCCCTACTCCATCCCTACTCCATCCACATACATCCATCTCCTACCTACTCTTACCCCCTACCTACACCCCCAACTTTCTACCCTCCAGTACTCATCGCAATCGCATATGAATTTTCGCTCCACATACACACATCCACAAATATACGCTCTAACTACCCCTTTTCTCTCTCTCCCACAAACCCTTCCTCAAACTGTATATTCATAAAGGAACAAATTAGCTCACGGAACATTACATTTCCACGCAGCCATACATATCATGCCATTAAGACAAGATTGAAAAAAAAAAGTGAAAAAAAAAAGAACATCTCAAATTTCTTATTATGAATCTCTGAATCTTCATACCAACGCACGCCCAAACGCCTCATGCAATGCGAAAGAATCCCCGAAATGCAACTAACAAACTCAATAGTATGTTGGCATTGGCATTAGATTTCAATTGTCTTCATCGCAGATTCATCATCAGCATGGGTTTCCTTCTCAGAAGTTCCTGATACTAATCCCAACCCTGTAACTTTTTCACCGGCCTTTTCATTTTCTTTGTTCTCGTTAGGCGAATCGGATTCTATAAATGGTCGGTCCGAAGATTTGTTTTCCTCACTTGGTCTTGGGGTTTGAACATCGACAAGTTTCGTAGAGGGAATATCTATGGTGCTGACCTTCATTCCTGATCCGGAACCTTCTTCAGCAACTTGAGCTAAAGGACTAGATTTTCCATAACCAGGACGATTTGGACTTGGAATTGGTGAGGCTCCTGAGAAACGTTGCATAGAACGTCCGCGTGGCTCACCAATTTCGGCAGCTGGGCTGGCGTAAGGAGATCCAGACGGAGATCCTCCATTGCCATTGACGGGTGGCGCCGATCTTCTTCGCACATTCTTGCGACCATACTTCTGATCCATTCTCCATCTTAAAATATCAAAGTAACCAGGTTCAACTTTTCCAGACTTGAATTCCTTCAATTTTAGCTCATTGGTTTCTTCATCCACAAACCATTTGCCACTGCTGAGATCATCTGCGACAGTAGCCAAGAAAGCAGACCACGATCGTGCGACGACATATTTGCAATCGTAGTCCCGACCAAATAGAATAACTTGACCCCATTTACCAGCTGGTCCTGGTGCCAAATCAACTGCCAAGTTGTTTCCGCCCCAATCTCGAACGAGTGGGATCCAAGCGGGATGAGCGTAAACCTTTTGAATGGCATTAGGAGGTTGAGAATCCTGGCGGGCCAATAAATCTTGTCTCCAGTAGGGATTTTGTGCATTTGCAGGTTGCTTCGACGACGAAGATGAGCTACCACCTAATGCCTTGGGTGGAATTGAAGGTCTATAAGAAGAAGATTCTGTAAGATATTCCTGGTTGACCTTTTTCCAATTTTCCCACTCTTGTACAATTTCCTCACAGTCAAGCAACATGGAGCCAAAGATAATTCCCGTAGGTAGACCACCACGTTCTTGTCCATCGTGAAGTTGCATCGATTCTCGAACTTCCATTGGAAGGGAACAGTCCAATTGATGCTCTAATTCATTCAAATCATTGTTTGTGCATCCCTCGCAGAGTTGATCGAATAATTCTTCGTAATTGTCCTCGGCCCATCTATCGATTCTCTTCCACGAGTGTCCAACTGGTGGTGGTGGAGGAAGCCCCTCTTGGAAAGCTTGCAATTGAATTTCTCCTGGTGTGACATTCTCAAAATTTTCTTGCGTAGATTGTCGCTGAAGTGTAGATGATCTCATTCCTGGCGAATATGGAGATTGTGGACCTGGACTAGCAGGAGGAGCAAAAGGTGAACTTGGGTAAGCATTGCCATTGAGTGCCGATGTAGATTGTCGACCTGAATCTTCAAAATAGGGGGAATTCAAATCTGCGCGTGATTCTGAAGCTGTTGTTGCAACTGATGTTAAAGGTTCGTGTCGACTTTGTGCGAGGGGAACATGTCCGCCAGTTCTATATGGAGAATCATACGACGAGTCTGTTGATTTGATAATTTTGGTTAGAAGAGAGATTAAAGTTTCGCGGGGAGTTTTGGTATCAACATACGACGATCATAACTGGTCATAGTATGCCAGAAAGATTTAAAGGCAGAGCCCAATGGGCTAAAGGGATCGAAGTTAGCATCATTTGCAGAATTAATTGAAGGAAATCGAATTGGAGGTGATAGATAACCTTGATAACAGAGGATCAAGACAAAAAGGGGAATTTTGAATGATGACTTACTTTCCTGCCATGACTGGCGATTATTCAAGTATTGTTGTAAATACTTATTTCGATGATTACATGAAACTGTCACAGTTTTGATAGCTGTTGATGAGGAATTTCCCAAAGATATCTGACGTGTGTAGGTAGGGAGGTGGTTATTTGTTTTGATTTGTTTGTTGTTGATCTTGAGAGGGTATGCGCCGTATGAAGAGAGGAGCGAGGAGAGACGATGCTGGAGATTTGGGATTATTAAGGAGATGGAGATGGAGATGGAGATGGAGTTGACGTTGGAGTTGACTTGAATTGAATTGATAGGTAGGGAGGGAGGAAGAGAGGTTGGAAGATTAAAAGACTGGGAGACTGGAAGATTGGAAGATTGGAAGACTGGGTGATTGAGTGAGTGGTGGTGAGTGGTGAATGGTAAGTGAGTAAGTAGTAAAGTCGTGAAAAAGATTTAAATCGCGGTTTGATTTGATTACTTTTATTGCAACTTATTTCACTTATTTCACTTATTTCACTTATTGCACTTATTACCCTTCTTACCTAGTACGTACACTACCATCTGCACCTAAAATCTTTGCCCTGAATT